CCATGATGACCAGGCTGGTCTTGAACTCCTGACCTCAGGTGATCCACCCACCTCGGCCTCCCAAAGTGCTAGGATTACAGGCGTGAGCCACCGCGTCCTTATGCTTTGTTCTTAAAACACTACTGGCATGTAGAAGTAATTCAATAAGTGCTCGTTGTTGCACACGTAAATTTAAAAAAATAGGTAAATAGTGAAGTGACTAGCCACTGGAGGGATCCAGCCAGAGACTGGGAGAGTTGTTTGGTTGGATGTATAGCAAGAAAACCAACCCAGGAAGCGACTGGACTGGTTTCTCCTAACCCGAGCAATCTGTGTTCCTACTTCATGAGGAAGCTGTTCTGAAAAGCTGTGTTAACCTTTGGCAATACAGCCTTAACCTTGAGTTTGAGAAGCACTGCTGAAATCCTGTTCTCCCTTAGCTTTGGAGCCACATCCTCCTTCACTGCGAGAGAGAAGGCAGAGGGGCAGCGCAGACATGAGTGTCTGGGCAGCCGGTGTCAATCTTTATGTGGCTGCCTAATGACCACTCACTGGATTTTTTGTGGTGTTTTTCTCTGGTCTACGCACAGTGGAGGGCAAGGCTGGGGGAGACAAGGATGTTGTAAGTCACTGTTTCAAAAACAAGTGGAAGCGAGTTTCTGACTCATCTGCCTCACTGCCTGGCCCCAATCCAGAGCTATTTATGAGCATCACTGGGCTGTAAGGCTGCATGCTCTGGTGATGCCCAGTGGATGGGCTGTCCGACAGGGTTTCACCATGTTAGCCAGGATGGTCTCAATATCTTAACCTCATGATCCACCTACCTTGACCTCCCAAAGTGCTGTGCTGGGATTACAGGTGTGAGTCACCATGCCCGGCTTTTTTTTTTTTTTTTTTTTTTTTTTTCTGAGGTGATGTCTCCCTCTTGTCACCCAGGCTGGAGTGCAGTGGCGCGATCTCAGCTCACGGCAGCCTCTGCCTCCTGGGCTCAAGCGATTCTCCTGTCTCAGCCTCCCAGATAGCTGGGATTACAGGCACTCGGCACCACACCCAGCTAATTTTTGTATTTTTATTAAAGACAGGGTTTCACCATGTTGACCAGGCTGGTCTCAAACTCCTGACCTCAGGTGATCCACCCGCCTTGACCTCCCAAAGTGCTGTGATTACAGGCGTGAGCCACTGTGCCCGACCCCTGGGCTACTCTTAGAGACTGTCACATTAGGCAGTGGGATTGTTGATTTTCAGCCAGGGTATCCTTCTGAAAATGTGCAGTGGCTGATCTATCAGCTGCCTCTCCACTTCAGATCCCTTAGGTGTTTTCTTAGGGACTAAAAGGAGCCAATAACAAATAAAAATCATGGCGAAAAGATTTTTATGATATGAACCATTGCTCTTAGAGTTGCTGGTTGGCAGGGCAAGATAAGCATGTGCAGCACGGCTGTGGCTGAGCAATCTGTGGGAGGGTGTGTCCTGGCCAACAGCAGAAGAATCTGCTGGAATTGTTGAGGGGGTGTGTATGAGTGGGGGCGTGAATCGTGAAGGGTGCAGGCATGGTGCTGAGTCACACAAGCGTAACAACTTTCTCCAAGTGTCAGATGCAGAGGAGCCACGTAGAATTTCAGATAAGGCAGAGGGCTTTCCCTTTGTGAATGCAGGTTGAGGCTGTTTACAGGGGAGGTACTTGGCTGGTCTGACTTGGAAGTTCCACCCATTGGTTCTGTTGTTTTGTTTTGTTTTGATTTTGTTTTTTTTGAAATGGAGTTTTGCTGTTACCCAGACTGGAGTGCAATGGCGTGATCTCGGCTTACTGCAACCTCCTCCTCCTGGGTTCAAGTGATTCTCCTGCCTCAGTCTCCCGAGTAGATGGGATTACAGGCATGCGCCACCACGCCTGGCTAATTTTGCATTTTTAGTAGAGATGGGGTTTCTCCATGTTGTCCAGGCTGGTCTTGAACTCTCAACCTCAGGTGACCCGCCTGCTTCGCCCTCCCAAAATACTGGTATTACAGGTGTGAGCCACCACACCTGCCCTCACCCAGTGGTTCTTTTTGTTGGTTCAGTGGAAGAGGAAGTGACTCTTGACCTCCTAAGAGGCAGAGACTGGTTGTACAGGGAGCTCTGGTGTAAGCAGACTTAGCAGGGACCGTTCTGGGCTGAGTTTGCGGGAACACAAGAACGGTATAGGGCAGGAGATTTTAGTGACCCCAGAGTATTTTGTGGATGAAATCAGCATAAGAGTATCAGAAGCACTCTGAAGGAAAAACAGATGTGCAATCCGGCGAAGAAGGAAAGGGCAGAGCGAGCCCATTGCCTTGATAAAGTGCTTGGATGCTGCGCAGCGCGTGTAGGAATTGACCTCTTTTTAAAACACTGCCCTCCTCATTGGACGGCTCCCAGGGCCTCTGCCTGGGTAGCAGGAGTGGAAGACACTGTGAAGGAGGTGACTTGCCATATGTAGGGCCAGCTGTTTTCTGAACGGCTGCACAGCTGAAACCAGTCTACGTTAGGGTGACCTTTTTACCTTCATTCTGGAATCATCTTCATGGAGGGGGTTTCTCCATACAGTTGGTGGCAGTTCTCTGCTTACAGAATCAGAACATCCCCATTGTTCTCACCGCCTTTTGGGAATCAGGCAGCCAGTGCAGGTTGTAGTGTAGGATCTTCACTGTGTCTTGTTTCCTAAAGATACACGTGTTTGTTTTCAAATGCAGGTGAAGCCGTATAATGTCTACATCACAGTTGCTTACCCACCAGACACAGACACACCTGGTTTCGCCGAAGAAAACAGAACAAAGGTCAGTATGCTACGTGTCCCAATTTGAACCTCTAATGTATACTGCTTTTCTGATTTTCTTTCCGCTCTTCAGCTCACACTCATTTTCATCAGTCAACAATGTTTACTGGGTAGAGCGCCTAGCTGGTTTCTGATGACCTTGAGATTCTCCAGGCAAATATTCCTTCTGTCCTTCCTCTTTTCCTTCACTTCCTTCTCTTAAAGTTTAATTTAAATTTCTACCAATTTTTTTCTGTATAGAGACAGGGTCTCGCTCTGCCATTCAGACTGGAACACAGTGGTACAATCATGGCTCACTGCAGCTTTTGTTCTGGGACATTTTATTATATTACTCCTTTTATCACTTTCTTCCCAAAGTAGTTCAGGTGTTCATTCTTTCTGGAGCACTTACTATTCAGATTTTTTGGACTGATCCTCTAATTTCCTTCTCTTTTCTCTCATTTTATATCTCTTTGGCTTTTTGTTCTACTTTCTAGGTTTTTTATTAACTTTATCCTTCAACTTTTTTGTTGAAATTTTTATTTCTGCTGGCTTACATAAAAATTATTTTAGATATCTTTTCTCTGAATATTTAAAAGTTTTTAAAAATAGCTTCTTGCCTTATTTCATGGATTTCGTATTTTCTCTTATTTCTAAGGATAGTCACTCTGGACATTTAGTCTTGTTTTTTGTTGTTGTTTTGTTTGAAAAGTTCTTCTACGTCTTGTATTATTTATTTCCTCCTAGTTTCTTTTTCTCTTTTGTGGTCCTTTTAGGCTTCCTCAAATGTCTAGTGATCCTTGATTGTCCATATTTTTGAGTGAGGCACTAAAATGCCAATTGTAAATCTCTAGCTTCTCAGCTGTTTAGGATGATCAGGAGAAGATGCAGTCACATCATTAGAAGACTCTCATATGCCAGCATCTGCTCACTTTTCTCTTGGTTTGATCAGTTTCCTAAGTGAGGAATCATGTTGTCTCCTGCCTTTGGGAGAGTAAGATCTCCTGTCTGTGTTGTGGGAGCCAAGCAGAGCAAGAGGGCTGGGGAGCTCACCACCTAAGTGCCAACTTTGGCTTAATTTTTCTGTTTCCACAAGATGCCTTGTAACTACTTTTAGTGGTGGCTGGTGTTCCAGAATTAACAGTCTGATTAGTAAACTGCTAATCTTCTGCCATTGTAGAGGAGATGACTGGAGGTCTGCATTGCACTTGTCACAGCTTATAACAGAAACTTCTCATAGCACTTATAACAGACATATCTGTTATATAAAATCACTGCCAGTCATCCTGAGCTGAATACAAGCTTCACATTTTTCAATGGAATGTTCCCTTTGCCTTGACACATAGTAGTTGCTTTTTTGAGCAAATGAATAAGTGAAGCAGGAAGAAAGGAATCAATCAGAACTTACTACCTTGAACTGTGGCTAATTTTAGTTTTATATTTTTTTCTTCTCTTTTATACCAATACTTTGTAAATGTGAATCGCTGCAGCATAAAAATTGGCACTTAAACTCCCTAGACTGTATATTTGTAAAAAGCTGTTTATGATTTAGAAGTGTTTTTTCCCCTATTCTTTTCTCTTTTGCTCTGCCTTTTTAAAAATTGCTGCTATTTCAAAGAAGTAAATTGAAGCCAAATGTCCTGTCTTCGAATATGCAGAGATCTGCTAAGCAGCTTTGCAGCATTTGGTATGAAGCCAAAGCCGACAAAGGGTGGTGATTTCCCTGTTAAGGTTTGATTCTGATGTTGATTAAGTTGGGGTTTTTTTTTCCTTCAGCAAAATTGT